CAACTCACTTGCTATGGTACCTTTGAATTAATATAGTTGTTTTTTCAGTGGACTTATTTTGACCCCATTGAAATATTAAGTTGCCCCCAAACACTTATGGTAAAATGGTCCTCACTCAAGTCGCACTACCACTACCTTATGGAATACTTCACATCCCAAATTATCTGTTTGTGCGTGAACTGTTAATGCAAACGTGTCACCCATTTTCTTAAATGCATCAAGATTTTTCTCCATTTTCTGATTGTTTGTTCACCACGGAAGCTCGTGAGAAATGTAAAATCAACACGGAATGAAAATTTGATAGACAAATGGTTATTTTGGGGGTGAAGTATTCCTTTAAATAAATGTGCTCCATGTGATATTTGTTGTATTTAAGTAGTATCTTACAGCCCATAAGCTTCCTTTTGTGTACATATAACAAAACATATGAAGGTTTTTTAACAATGTAAACCAGCATGTAGGAACTGGAACAGTATTTTTCAACGAAAATCCACTAAAAAATTCACACTTCAAACAACAATGTCTGTCTGCTATGTCCAGACGCTGTTTGCTCAGCTGAGATCTGTAAATACTGTGTAAAGAAGAACAAACTGTTACAAATGCGCCAGTGACTCTCACAAAGATCACATTCCTCAGACATGTTGTGAAACATTTACATACTGTGTACAATTGATCGGTGCACCTCTGTGTTTTGTAAAAGGTTGTAAAGATGTGCAAAAATAACAATGTAATTACCTATTAAATATAGCAAATTCTGAGATGCATCTTTTTTTTGATAATACAAGTAGGTACAGGAGCCCTGAGACACAAGTGAGAAAGAAAATACTGATGATTCAGTTTCTATGTCTGATTTTAATTTTGTCGTCTCCTGTGCATATGACTTACTAACAGGTAAAAACATTTTTGGCATTACCATTTTTTCAGCAGTCATAAAGACATGTGAGAAAGTAATTAATATCAAACTTAGAAAATCCATCATCATAACAAATACATTTCTCACCTCTAAGGGCTTCCATACAAAATAAGTTTGACTATTGTAAATAAATTGCTTGCCGTAAACTACCAGTTTTATGGTGGTGGTCGTGTCAGTATTATTATTTTGATCCAAAAAATACATTTGTACACTAAAATAATTCAGTAAATAAACGGCTTACGGTTTATTAATTGCAGGCACAGTAAAACAATGAACAATAATCAGCAGAAGGCTTTACAGGGCTTTGAACAGCAATCCCCGAAACGCCATGGTGGCATTTTCCTTTCACCACAAAATATACAAATATAGTTGTTTTTTTAAATAAGAGAAATGCTTTTATACAAACAAAGTATACATGGGGAAGAAGCTTCACAATCAAACAGCAAGGATAGGCAATGCAATTCTCAGACAACCTGGTTCAGTAGTACTTTATTTCCTCTATTCAGTGTATTTACCATGTTAACCAATTGAAAATTCCAGTTGTACCTATATTAAATATCCAACCCAGTCTCACGGCATTTCGTGTTATAGTCACAAAATTAATGTAATCTATTGATTCGTGTTCACCAACACGATTTTCGCATTTTTCCGTGTCACACAGAATGATTTTAAAAGCAATGTATTTCTATTGGTAGTATGTTTCGTGCCTGCACCACGTCTTTTTGTCCGGTCGAGTCTTGGAATACCAGAAGCTGTGTGGTTCATAAAAACATTTTCTTACTCAATATCTTACCCTAAAGCCTAACCCTATCCCTTTTATTTTAAATGTTGCCGTCCACGAGGAAAATAAATGGGGCAAAGAGCCTCAGAATACTGAAATCTGTATTTTTCCTTCTAATTTGATATTATTTGGTGCAGGCACGAAACATACACCAATAGAAATACATTGCTTCTAAAATCGTTCTGTGTCAGAATACTGAAATCTGTATTTTTTTTTATCTGTTTTTCCTTCTAATTTGTTATTATTTACATTGCTTTTAAAATCGTTCTGTGTGACACGAAAAAAAATGGCGAAATCGTGTTAGTGAACACGAATCAATAGATTAATTTCGTGACTATAACACGAAATGCCGTGAGACTGTGTTGCAACCTCAGAAAGGGTTTGATAATGTACATTATAGTGAACAAATGCAATCAAGAAAAACACCCCACTGAAAATACAGTTGTGAAAATCTTGACGTGCCTCCGGCAACTTCAACAAAGCGATCAAAGCAAGGGTATAGAGAAATACTTCAGCTGCGTTTCAATTTGGATACTTCCATCGGTACACTGAATTTCCTAGAATGTGAAAACTTGGGCAGTGCGTGAATTTCTGCTGTGCACTCACCGGAAGTGATGATAGCCAGATAGCAAGCTAGCTAACGATCTTTGCTAGCTAGATGATCGAGGTAGCAAATCATTACAAACTGCTAAATGTACCCAATGAAATGTAAGCAGGCTTCTTTTTTTAAACCAATATAGTTGTATGTCTTTCAAATAGTAAAAAAAACCACATCATTTACTTGTATTTGTATAGTGCTTCATTAACCAACTAGCTAACAATAATCGCTAGCTAGATGATCGAGGTAGCAAATCATTACAAATTACTCAATTAACCCAATAAAATGTATGTTGGCTTCTTTTTCGATACAAATATAGTTATACGTCTTTCAAATTGTGAAGAAAACCCAATAATTAACTTTTATTTGTATAGTGCTTCATTAACCAGAGCAAAAACAATCACGGCTGTTCCTGAAATGTCTGTTACCCAGCTAAAATGGTGGTCATAGAGTGTGGATTTTGCAATACTTTTTGAAGACACACTTATGAACTCTAAATCGTAAAATGAAGTACAGAAGTATGCAAATCGAGACATAGCATTGATCTTGTCTGACAGATAATAAAATATTCTCTAAGCTGTCACTGTGACACAATCAATCTTTCTTTACATTTCAAATAGTAATATGTTGGCACACTAATCTTTATAACTGGTTTTCTGCAGTCTGAAAAATATCAAAGAAAGATAATTTAACCAAGACTTTCACAGATTAAGATTTAAATAATAAAAAATACAGTGGAATAGGGTTTTTGAAAAGCAACATTTTCTTCTCCCCTGACTTCCCTGCCATAATAATCCCTGATGCAGTAGTGCACTATAACTTCAGAGCAGTCGGTTGTCGCAATCACATGTCATATCATAACGCTGTGTCCAGACACAGACACATCTAATCCCTTCATACATGACAACCACAAATGTGGGCCATGAAACTATCGGTGATATTTACAACAGCAGGGAAAAACCATTAAGGCATTTTTTAAAGACATTTCTGTACACCTCAAAGAAAGTCAGGACATACATTATGCAGATGTGTAACTTTTTCTAAACTAATAAACATTAAGTAAAAGGAGAAAGGTCAGACTTTAAACTTTGAACAAGGTACAAAATGAAATACGCAAAAAAAATATGTAAAGCTAGGAAGGCTAGGAATTAGAGACATCTCTAATGGCACATAACATTTAGCAGCTGTTTATGAAAAATAATCTCTTTAAGATGGGCGGACATGGGGTAGCATGGCAGATTCAGTCACTTAAAGGGACAGCTTAGATTTTTTAGTGGAGTTGTACAAGTCATTTATCTTTAGTCGGTAAATTGCGTACTTTGGTGTTTTAAAAGGCTCGTTCAAATCTCCCCTAATTTGCATAATAACACAAACAAACTCATCGATCGAGGCAATACAATTACTATGGATAAGAACTTCATGTAACTCCACCTCAAAACATCCAAACTATCTCTTTAAAGTAAAACAAACAAACTTGTAAGACAATGTTTTTTAGTACGGAACCCTGACAGTGCTGCTTTAAAAACAACCAGCATTTGGCTTTCTGTCATTTCTCTGCCTCTTCACACAAGTTATCTGACTTGTTCAGTACCTGTTCAGTAGCAATATCCTGCAGTAAAAGAGAGATAAATGCCTTTCAAGAAACAATGGAAGTGATACATTCTTTAGAGGCGCAACAGTAATTAGTAAACGTCACCAGGGTCACCTCAGAGAGAAGATTCACAGAAAAACATCAAGCGATCATGTCCAATCAAGTTCAATGTTTGTCAAGACAGAAAGAGAAATATAAAGTAGGAATAGAGGTCCTCATCGAAGACTGAAAAATAGACGCCTTTTATCACATCCTGTCATAGAAATGTCCACAGCATAGATATGAATTTCCAGTGTAATAAAGCAGGCGTCAGCAGTCAGCAGGTCTGCAGTGCTGCAGAGGTACCGCTGGGATGAAGACGACTCGACAAACAATACATTTTCTGAAGTCAAGCTACTGTTCCCGACACATTCACATAAAATCGTAGACACTGCCTCCGAAACAGTCACGTTCATTCAAGTGAGGAAAGGCTTCCTTGAGAGGAGTGTATGTTTGATTAGAGGAGGGTGAGGGGTGAGCAGAGTTACAGGTTCTTGGACTCTTTACCTCAGTTTCCATTCAAGTTTGGTTTCAAAACAGATGATGTCAAGTTGAAAAGGCTTAATTGAAAAATCTGAATTGAAAAATCAGTTTGATAACATTTTCTTAAACGTAGTGAAACCATTTTTTAAGTTCGAAGAGGGTAAATGAAGTATAACTGAAGAAAGGTACAGCATATGTTAAATTAAAATGGACAAAGATTTGGCATGATTGAATTATTCTGTGAAACTGCATTGTTAAAAAAAAAAGTTTTGGTCATTACGCTAATATGTACTCATATGAAGGATTGATACCACATATTGCATATCCTTATAGACAAGGGTTAGCCGTAGGGCTGCTCGATTATGGCAAAAATCATAATCTCGATTATTTGGGTCAATAATTGATATCACGATTATTAAAAACGATTATCCATTTACTTTGAAAACATCAATCTATTGGAGATGATTTTTTTTAACAGTATGTTTTTAACAGTTGATTAAAACTTTAAGTATAATTCAACTGAAAAACCAATAAAAAAATAAAGTAATAAAAAACTTAAAATAATAATCGTTTTATTGCGATTACGTTGTTTTCGTAATCGTTGCTAGCCATAATCGTAATTGCGATTAAAATACGATTAATTGAGCAGCCCTAGTTAGCCGGTTAGCATAGCTTATCATAAATACTGTAAACTTAAAATAACAGACAGCATGGCTCCGTCTGAAGGTGAGACACTGTCACAAAGGGCCGTTAAAGCTCACCCGCTAACTTCAGACAGAGCCAGGCTAGCTGTTTCCAGTATTTAGGCTAAACTAGGCTAAGCTAACCGACTGCTAGATGTAGCCTTATGTTTTACGGACAGGCATGAGAGTGGTTTCTATCTACTCATCCAACTCTCCAATAGAAAGCAAATAAACATATTTCCAAAAATGTTCATCCTTGCCTATGGAAGTGAAAGGTCTGGCTTTATTTTTTTATTTTTTGTATCGTCAACAATCCTGTGAAAAGACCAATATACTCAATGTATATTATACTAACAAGTGTACTAACAAGTATAAAAGCTTATTCCTCAGTGTCAAAGAGCTTCATAGTAGTCTTATCTAAAACACATAAATGAGCAACACTATTGCAGCCAAAATTAGTCTCAAACAAATGCGATTTTTCCTGAAAACGTTTAAGAAAACGATTTAGCATTTTAAAACATTAAAGTATCCACAAAGGTCTGGTGAAGTCATAAAGCATTTAGAAATGGACGTGGTCATATTGGTCTTTCATTTGATTTATCGACTATACGAAAAACGGACAATATCACCAGCTTTCACCTGATATGCAAAAGCCTACCGTGAACTTCTAATAATAACACTACCTCTACATTAAAGTGGGAATAAGACAGACTGGAGGGCCATGAAGCAAGGAAAATTCATTTGTGATCACTTAACAGGCTTTTTTGGTTCACAGTATATAGCGGTGCAAAATGGCTCTGGGTAACGACACAAAGGCTGCTTTGGCGTTGTAAGAACATGTAGCTAATATTCAATTGGTACTGGTGGCCAGAATTGAGTTTCGATTTTTCTGGAACAGGCTCCTGATGAGGTCATGTCCCAAAAGGGAATCGACATTAGTTGGGATTTTGGGGTTGATTAGGTATATTTAACCACCTAAAAAATAAACCATCTAATACATTCAATATCAGTTTAAGTCTAACCAATATTTAGAACATTTTCCTTTTTCGACAAATAACTCTAACCACCAGACTCCATTGACAGAAACTGATATTTTGCTCATAGAGAAATAAAGTTGCTGGTCTTCCACTCTCCCGATCACTTAGTCATTGTGTGTTATTGTGTGACTTTGGTGAATCTGACCTATCGAGATAACAGCACAATAGCAGCGCAATAGCAGCTTGCGTGTTCTTCAAGGTAAAGAATACCGTTTTGGTCAATGGAGTATGGTGGCTTTGAAGATAGCAGGGATAACAACCTCAGAAACCCCCAGATTATTTTAGGATGGACTTTTAAGATAGACATCCACCAACTTCAAAATATTATACACTCAAAATCGATAAGTACCCAAAACAGCCATATTTCAAAACATCCAAACTATCCCTTTAAGCTCCTTGACAAAAACATAAACTGCACAACAAAGACCATAAGCACTACTAACGCTGGTTTATAATCTTACTAAAACACTGCATATGCAGATTTTTAAAGTGAATAGACACAAGTTAATTATATTTTACTGAATTGGGCTAAGGTACAGGTCTCACCTCTGGATCTGATAGGAACTCATCTCAAGGACACTTTAGCAGATATTGATGAGAGCAGGTCTCAGCCGAGAGAGTGGAAGGAGGGTACCTCCCTAACTCCTCAGCATGGCGTTGTTTCCCTCCCTGAATCTCCTCCCTCATCACTAAAGGTCCTGCCCTTGCCCTCTCTACTCCCCCTCTTATCCCTGCTCCTTATTTCCCTGCTTGGCACTTCCACAGTAAAGTGGCTGTCCTCTGCTTTCACAGAAGTAGACGAGGGTTCGGAGGGTGACGTCACCTCTGGTCCCTGGGGGTGAGGGTGAGTTGTTGTGGCTGTCTGGGATCTGCTAGAAAACACAGGGGGTGAGATAGGGGACAAGGGCCCCAAGGGGGAGTATCGTCTCAAGGAAACACCATTCAGGTTAACAGCGAGCTCCAGAACAAGTTTCCTCGATGTGAGGATGTTGCATGGAGGCACAGAGGCTTCCTGGGGATCTGTGGGGCGCCCGCTATGAGTTAGAGAGTCCCTCTGGACAGGTGTGGGGGGCTCCGACTGTGGACCCCTGCTGCTCTCCCTGCTGACTGGTGACAGCACGTCCTCTGGGCTGTCTGCAGACTGCAAGGACAGAGGTGATGCGGGGCTCTCTGACGTGCAGGACTGCAGGGTCCTGGTTGCAGAGCGCCGGGACCCCACTGCATCGACCTGTTCCCATCGAGCCTGTCCCACAGCCCAGCTCCTGGGCAACTGCACACCCACAGTTTGGTAGCTGTGGAGCCCCAGTGTGATCTGTGTGGGTCCAGGGGAGTCCAGCAGAGGGGCATTCCCTCTGGTTCGCCCCCCACTGCGGAACAGGCGAGTCCATAGATGCCCGAGACGTCGGCGAGAGGAAGAGGAGGTGGAGCGCCGCGTGGGAGTGACGTCTGATCTGCCTGCGCATCGCCAGACGCAGGTTCTGTAACACGGACGCCTGGAGGAGACGGAGACGGAGAGAAACGTCATTCCTGTTTCTATCCAAATATCAGGTAGATAGCAAGCAATCAAGCAAATAGGATATAATTGTTCATTTGTCATCCTTAGATGAACTGGTAGGCCGATCTTGCTCCTTTGTTATCCAGTACCTGTGCTAAGCTAAGTTAAGCTAAAAGACTGCTGGCCTTTGCTTGAGACTAACCACTAAGATATCACAATGGCATCCCTCAACGCAAGAGAAAAAAAGCTTTTTTAACAAAATGTTAACTATTCATTTCAGTTAATAACGTGATTAGGCAAGAGTTAATGGAAATATATGTATATTGACAGCCATTAGGTGTTTTTATCCACCTTTGTTTAAGTGCATTTTCAATTTCAATTTGTGCTTGAATCCTAAGTTTCAGGAAAACAATTACCAGAAATGTATTATCGTGTGTGAATGCATTACCTGGGTGGGGTTGTACACGGGGAAATCCTCCACCGGAGGGATGAGACCCTGGGCGATTAACTGACCATACGAAGGGGGGGCCTCTCTCTGAACAAAATCGGCCTCCATGCGAGTCATCTGAGTCTCAAAAGCTCTGTAAGAGAGACAGAGACAAAGACAGAGACAGGGACAGGGACAAAGACAGAGATACTGTCATTGTAAGTAGAGCTGGGTGGACCCAAATACAGAAGACAGGAACATACCTTTACTTAGGAAATCCAGGGAGGGCAAAACAAACAGAACTAAACAGACCTTCCAGCTGACCAACATACAAGGATCCCGACAAAAATGTAACAGATAACTACGATTTAAAAGCAAGTTGAACTAATCGGCGGATGAAGTGCAGGTGTGCAGGAGGTCAGGTGGTTGCTGGGCTAATAATGCCAGGAGTGAAACAGACTGGACAAGGGGGAAAAACATTTTTTAAACATAAACAGGAAACAAATAAACTAAAACTAGGATAATGAAAGAGAGAGAGAGAGAGGTAGAAAAAGGAGTGCAGGACAAACAGCAGGACAGAAGAAAAGATAATGGAAGTGGCGTAGACAGAGAGTGAGCGACCATAAGGTGACCTAATCAGACATTTATCTTGTTGTATAAAGCAGTAAACAAATCAAAGGGATGACGAACAACAAGAACATCACATGCACAATGGTGCTTTTTCCACACCTGTACTCTCTGCTCCTGAGCGAGTGGAGTTTGAGGGCACAGCCGAGGGCGATGACCAGCAGGAGGCTGCAGACGAGGCTCCCGATCAGGGCAGCTGTGATCACCTTCCTGGGCACGGCTGCCAGACAGTCCCTCTCATCGCTGCCGTCCAAGCAGTCCTCCTGGCCGTCACAACGCCACGTCTCAAAGATGCACAGGTTGGTCCCGCAGTGGAAGTTTCCAGGTTGGCAGTTGTAGCAGTTCTTCTCGTCAGACCCATCTGGACACCTCTTCTGGTTGTTGCAGCGCTCAGAGGCTGGGTAGCAGACCCCAGTTCCTCCCTCGCAGGGGAACTCTCCGTCGGGGCAGGTCGGGCAGGCCTCCTCGTCGCGGCCCGATGGGCAGTGCCAGTAGCCGTCGCAGCGTTGGCGCTCAGAGTAGCAGCCCTGATCGCTGCCACAGGGACGCTCGCCGGGAAAACAGTAACCTTTGACCTAGGGACGGCAGAGGAGGAATACATCAGAGAGAGGACTAGTTGGTGTCCGCTGGATTGATGGGTCTCTGGACAAACAGAAATAAAGGTACTCTATCTTTCAACTATACCAATCACAAAATACCTTAAATGTAGATAGGAATTCTGAAAGGAACCCCAAATGGGACGTTATTGAATACAATTGTTTAGAGCATATGATTAAAACATTTCAGTCTGTGGCCATAAGTATTTTTCTTTTTGTCCTATCGGTTTTGTCTAAATGTATTTTTGCTGCTTTTTATATATTTATTGATGAACAGCACTTTGGTCAACTCTGTGGTTTTTAAATGTGCTATATAAATAAAGTTGGATTGGAGTGGATTGGATAAAACCATTTGAATTTTAAAGATAGTTGGAGCTCTCCTTTACAGTAGGTTTGAAGAAAAAGTTGGAAAAGACAATGAAGTGTTGAAAAGACTTTGAAACTAATTTTCTGAAAAACCGGATGAAGTGTTCCCAGTCTGCAGTACCTGGTATGTGGCGTTGAATCCATGTCCTGGGCTGTGAGGCTGGGCCATGTACAGAACACTCATCTGTCCCCGGCTGGACTCTAGCAGCGCCGGGCGCCGGTTGTTGTGATGAGACAGCACCTGCAGGAGGTGCTCTGCGCGCTGCAGCAGGCCGTCGTACACATGCAGCGAGTCCCCGGGGCCCAGCTGCAGGTCCAGCTGCAGCACGATGGGCTTGGGGTCCTGGGTGTCCAGCCACCACGAACACCTCAGCTCAGCCACAGAGCTCCTGTTGGCCCGGAAAAAGTCTGGGGAGGCAAAGGAGCCGTAGAAGTTCCTCAGACGTTTTCCGCAGGTGGTGTCGGGGCAGCCGTGCTCGTCTGTGCCATCGGGACAGTCCCGGGCCCCATTGCAGCGCAGGGCGGGGGGCAGACAGCGGGTGGACTGGGCCTCGGTGCACGGGACGGAGCCGGGGGGGCAGAGGCCAGGCCGCGCCTCCGTGGGAAGTGGGGAACAGCTGCGTTCATCTGACGCATCGCCACATTCATCCTGACCGTTGCACTTCCAAGAGCGAGGGAGACACTTCCCGTTCCCACACAGGAACTCATCTGACTGACAGCTGCTCTGACCCAGGTGACCTGCAGAGACACACATTGACAGAATGCAACACCAGCTACCAAATATCAAGAGAAAACACGACACAAACCAACATCAGAGTGCTTTTTGCTCAGTGAAACAACAGAATGCGTTTTGGCCTCAGATGTAATTAGCTACTTTAAAATTCTATGACAGAATAAATTATTAATAATGTAATATAGTGAAGTATAAAACATAACAACAGTTTATGTTTCAGCTGAGTTTTAATAGCGTGCGGCCTGCAGTGTTTACTCTACAGTAAGGGTGGGATAGGCTACAGTGCATAACATTAAGGATTTTGGGAGATTAGCATCTAAGCTAATTTACAGATGGCCCTGAGCCCAATAGAGATTGCCCTGAAAAATGCGCGCGGACGAAATGATGCACGAAGGGTTTGGGGGGCCTCCCCCTAGAAAATTTAGATTTTTGCAGGTCTTAGATGCTGTCTGGTGCATTCTCTAGACTGAATTATAAGATGAACCACCACAATATTATATTGTACAATTTCAATTTTATTCTTCATTTCACTTGTTTGTTTGCATGAGTTCTTGTTTGTGTTTGCTCGCTTGCATGCCCTGCATAGCTATAAGAAATACTTTTTGATTCTCTTTTTTGGGGGGGGGGACTGCAGCTCAGTCTTTCTCTTCTTCTTTCCAGGTTGTTCACCTTGCTTTGGTGGACTAAGAAACATTGTAATACACTGACTTTAAATGATTTGATCGTTAGGTATTCAGCATCAGAATCCGTAACAAATTGAAATTCCCACGAAAATGTGGTTGCATTCGATTCATTGTCCGGGTAGTATTCATTGTATAGAAATCGTATTGACCGGGCCAGCCCGAACATCGCAAAGTTGGTCGAACGAATGACTCCTCATCCGGAAGCTGACCGAGCAGCAGTCGAGAGGAGCCGAGCGCATCCGCGAAGCACACAAAATGGCGACGACGACGTCCATGAAGAAAGACGGGTTGACCGACTTTTGGCAACTTTTTCATCGTTTTCCAACCGATTTGACCGCTGTCAGGCACTGACACGTCTCCACAATTGCCATAATAGATTGCCCGATCGGGCAACCAGCAGGTGAGGCTTCATTGCCCGAGCTAAATATTAGATTGCCTCAGGCCATCGGGCAGTTGTTAATGTTGAGCCCTGGGCTAATAGAATTACTGCGCTCCCAAAGCTCACTAAAAACGTCCTACATTACAAAGTGTTATGTGGCTGATGTGAGATTTCTTCGACTCTCATTGGGTAATCTCAAAACGTTTTATTAAGTTAAAATACTGCTATAATGAGACATGCAGACACATTCAGATTTGGAAATATGGCTTTACAAGCCATCACACTCAAACTCTGGTAATTTTCCTTACTCTTAACCGACAATTTCCTTAATTATGTTAGAAATGATTTATGCCTTACACATTCTATAACTAGACGTTTTGATTCAGTCAGGTTAAGCATTGGATAAAAGATCCATGTCTGTCCAGCCTACCTCTGATGTAGGAGAGACGAAACCCCTGGGACTGCCCTGAGCTGTTGGCCTGAGAGTGGAAATAGAGCCAGACGCGCCCCCTGGTGGAGATGAAGGGTGGAGGCAGCATGGAGCCACACAGCCTGGAGTCCCCGGTCCTCGTAGGAGTCAGCAGGAGCCAGTCTCCCAAACATCTTCCCGCTTCGGCCACGTCAAAGTTCCGGAAACTTGAGCAGAAGATGGATGATTTTAGTAGGTTACTCTATGACGGATGTCATGTGTACACTGTGTGAGTGAGGGATTGTACCTGATGGTGATGACCTCGCCCTGACCTCCCTGGATATGCCAGCTGCAGTTGACTCCAGCAGGGTAGTTTAAAGGCCAGGACGGGCTGTAGATCACACCCCTCCGCTCTGAGTGGACCTCCACTCGCTCACTGCAGCCTGCTGGGTGAAACACACACACATTAGGAAGGTTGGTCTCTGCAGTGATTTGTGTTAACCCATTTTCTTTATCTTTCCTTACAGTCATTATGCTGAAATTCTCAGGGGTGGTTTGACAATGGGCCCCTGTGCACAGTTATACAAAAGACCCCACCCCCTCTCCTACTGTAGCAAAACAGATATTAATGTTATTTAGACCCTTGTTGTCATTTTGTTTCTTTTTTTGTCGTTTCACATCTTTCTATGATTTTGGTCTGTGTTTTTTTATTGCCAATTTATAGTCATTTTGCATATAATTGGTTATTTCATGTCACTTTGTAGTTGTTTTGTGTCACTTTTAAATCGTTTGATCTCACTTTGTAGCTGTTTTGTGTCACTTTATAGTTGTTTGGGTCTTTGGTCTTTGTAGTTATTTTGTGTGACTTCCTGTTTGGACCATGACCGAGGTTGCAGTCGAATAGTCCAAAAAACAGCTCCTAAGTTCTAACCCTATCGTCTATTCCTTGACCTCTGAGTGAAACGTCACAGGGTTAAGGGATAGTGGATAGGAGAATTCAAAAGGATTTAGGAGAAGAGACTGCGGTACTTTAGAGAATCCGACTGCACTTTCACTATCCGACGTGTTTATGATGCGCCAGCGGAGGTCATAAATGTGTGTCTGCTGCTGTGGGGAAACTATGGAAACTACAGTTTTCTATACAGCGGACTACAACATGGATGTTTAATAAGAACGAGGGACTACTGTAAACTCATCTAGAGACTCTGCACCGTGCTCTGATGCTGTTGTTTTATGCTTTATGAACGGGGACAACAGAGAAACATATTCTTCATGACCAAAGTTGGAATTGAAATAAAAAAGGAAAGTGAAACTTATGCTCGTCACCCTCTCCCTCCGGTCCTCATTAATACAAATGATCCCAATACGTATGATTGTATGAAAAGATCTTAAAATCAATACAAATGTATTTATTATAAACGTTAGTCCTTAACATCTATCACTGTGTATATCACCATTCAAACATCTTTTAAAAGTTGAACAAACCCCACACAGCTCAGTAAAGACTCTGAAATGTTGACTTTATTTGATCATTTCAGTAAAAACTAACGTTCATATTTCTCTTTTTGATTATAATACTGATGAACGTTCAAAACAAAGCACTTTGGCAAGTTACCACATACGTTTTAAAAAGCTTAATAAGCACCGTAACTTTCATGATATCATTTCTCGGTCATAATCGGTTGTTTCCGTGAACGGCCGACTGTTGTGTGACGGCAAATGCTGCGGCTGCAAGGCATTGTGGGGCAGCATTTTCTCCTCTCCTTTCGGTTAGGGAGGTCCGGTGGTTCCTAAGCTAAAGGAGGTTATAAAGGAAGTTTGAAACCTCCTTTCCTTTCATCTAGAGAATTCGAACGGCACTTATCATGGCTGCCACTGAGGGACTTCTGGGTCATTTCACTCCGTTAGGAAGGTTCCTAAGCTAAATGGACTATTCGACTTCAGCCCAAGACTTTGGGCCCCTGTGCATGGTAGGCAAGTTCAGAAATCCATATATTAAGTAGATGCATAAATGTTTATTTTAACAACAGTAAATGTCGTGTTCATTGGGGACTGTTATCAGATGCATACTAATACACATTTAGCTGTTACAGTAGTAAGTATTTCTGGCAGCACAATGGTGTATGCGGAAATCCATTGTTGTCCAAAATAGCTTTTGGACAACAATAGAGCTCTATGGCATAGAAAAAGACAAGTAGGCTATAACAGGGCTTTAGCGTAGCTACATGTATATTTATTTTTACTAGGATCAATTATTTGTTTACTTTAAAATGGATTTGTCAATAATACAAAAACTATCACCAGACTGTTCTGTAATTCCAATGACCTTTCTCTTTTTCACGTATAGTACATATGTAACCATGAGGCATCCTTATCATCTCAAATTCTTAAGAGGGAAACTACTTTCAGGAGAGAGAGATATGGTCTGTTCCTTTATTCATGATGAACTGAGAATTATGCATGCTCAGCAGGATCCATACTGCTACTGCCAGAATACTCTCACACACACTCACACACACACGTTCCTTCATTCAAACTCCTTAAAATTCGTCATGACCTTAGCATACTAGTACCAGAAACGTCAGCGCTTAAAAGGACAATACAAAATCGCTGCTGCATTATTAAAAGTGCATTATGTTTTATGTGATTGTCATGTTTTGTCTCTAATCAGTGCAAACAACCTTAAGTCAATGCCTTGACAAGACAAACGACCCTAGTGCCTTTCAGGGGAGCTCTGTGCTGATCACATTGGGGGCGAACACCACGGCAACAGCATCGCCTGCTGCCATCGCACCATTTCTTCAGGGAACAGAGAGCGGTGGCCAAGAGGGGCACCAGGAATAAGACACAGACCTGTTTGAAGTGCAGGCCATGGCTCCTGTTGTTTGGTAATAATTAAAGGCATCAGGTGTGTATGGAAGCCCTGTGTTTAACACTTAAAAACAGGCAAAAGGGTTTTCCAGGATAATCTGTCATTATTTGATCCTTATTTGTTTATTTTCTCATCTATGAAAAGGTATAGGGGGAGTTTTACAAGGTTTGAACGGTTGTTGTTGTTGTTGTTGTTGTTGTCATACTCATTCTGGCCATAAAAAGCTGAATTAAAATATTACCACATGTTGTTGATACGACTAAAAGAACCTGGCAAATAGCTAGTGAATGTTCAAACTTTACCAGCCACTCAATAGACTGTTGTTATTATTTGGTTGGCGAGTCAAGCACTAGCCACTTGCATATATTATCACAATTTGGTTGGTAAATGGTAGTCATTTAGTGAATTCAAATGTCCACCTTTACTCTAAACACAAAGTACAGATATTCTGTTTAAGCAAGTCATGTCATATTACTGTCTGTATAAACAATTTTTTAGCCAAACAAAAGACATAAATAAATTGTAGAATAGAAGAGAAAACCACTCAGATTAGACTTATAAAATGGATCACTATACGTTTATTTTTTTGTAAGGCCTCTAAGGGCTTCCCTACATTGTCTCCAAGCAGTTATAACACAGGAAGGCTAGATACCAGATGTAACAATAACTTAAATTGTGATGTTAATGTAACATCAGTGGGAAGGATTTCATTCTCTTTCTCACGCTGAGAACAAGAATTTAAACATCACCTCGTTACTTATCATTTGTGACACAGCAGGTATGACACAGGCAAGAAGAAGCTCTCTAACGAGCGTCTTAATTACCCAGAACCACAGAGACAGAAAATCAGCTGAACTGCTTAACAATGGATATCCAACATCGCCACACAGCAGCCCAGTTCTGCTGAGCGTGTGTGTGTTTGTTTCAGGCTTTCTTGATGAATCAGTGAAGTCAGCAGAGTGAAACATTGGCAGGGGGGGGGGGGCATCCTTTAGAGCTCAGTGATGGATATCGACTACTGCATGGATACCTCAGCACACACACAAATACACACACATGAAACTGGACTAGCCCTGGGAGTCTGTGGAGTAGAGCTGTTGTTGTATAGTGTGACAGGTTTTTGATATGAGATTTTACTTGTTTCTATTATTTTCAACAAATGTATTGACTTTACTTTGTGAGGACTAATGCAGCCTTCTCTGGAGTTCACTGCCTTTTGGTTTTATATTACATTTTATATATGTAACATCAGAGACAAAATGGGGTTTGTATTGGTTGAGCTACTTTACGTAGGTATAAATTCAAATCATTTTTACTTTGCTGATTATCTGTAAACGTTTTTAAAATCAGATCACACCAACAATCACTGCAGAGATAAAAATGACAGTTTCTCTACCCAAAGTAGCCGTGTGTATCCTTCTATATAGTCAAATGCAATAAGTTAAGCTGCCACCAAGTTAAAGGGGACCTATCATGCAAAATGCACTTTTGTACGTCTTTTATACATGAATATGTGTCCCCGGTGTTCCAGGGAACTCACCAAGTGTCAGAAAACACAACCCTCTCTATTTTCCTCCATACCCAAATCTCTAAAAAAGGGGCTGCAACGGATCTGATAAAAACTGATCCAGATGTGAACACTGTCCTGACGTCAGGACGGTGGCGCTACGGCTATTGGGCCAACTCCACCAATCAGGAGGAGACAGCCACGGCCATTGCCGTTCGAAAGCGCTGGAGACGCTGTAGTACATATGCCAGGCCAGTAGATGGTGCTGTTCTCACTGAATCTGCCCAGAGCTAGAAATTGTCAAATTGAGCAAAATGAGGCATGGCTAAAATGCATGATCTGTTTGGTATTTTGAAAAAAAAAAAGTATAAATATGCCTTATATAGGTATGGTCCTACACTATATTATTAAAATATAGCATGATAGGTCCACTTTAAACAAAATAGCAAAATAATGTTTTAATAGACAATTGGTCCAGATTATTTTTTTAATGTAATTAAGATCAATTTGACAAAACGGCAAAATGTACCTATAATATAAGTAAAAGTTATCAAGCAGAAAAAGTGATAAATTATTATATGTGACATTTGATTATCAAATTGTATGCATTTACTGCATCATCAAAAGAAAAACGGAAATACACATGATGCTGTCTTCATTAACATAATATATACGATTTTCCTTTCTTGGCTATAAAGCTCAAGAACTGGGTGATGTTGGTCAGAATGTATGTTTACACAGTCACATTGTGGCTGCCTTTTGTGGACATAATGCAGGGCCCCACAACATGAATTATTAAATGTAAGGGTGATGACTTGGTGGGTGCTGATGACGAGTGGATGAGGAGGAGCATGTTTTTTCTTTTGAAGCGCTTTCAAATATTGCTAGTCTAAGGTTGGGTCTGTTTGTTGGCTTGTGAGTTGCTTTTTGTGGATTTGCAGATATGTAAACTCTCTCTCTCGTCTATACAACAAAGCTGATAACATAATACGGAGGCTCATTAGTGTCAAACAGGACAACAGATTAAATGGCAGCTGTGGCAGATTCAATTTAGCTCTTTCTTCTCTTACCTTTCACAATAAAAGCCCCCTCAATTTAAGCTTCTGGCTACAAGCACAACCACAGGGAACTTGGCTTGGGTCTTGAGGAGTTGTAGGATTTATTAGCTGACAAGTAACATAAACTGTAAACACACTGCACTGCTAGTATATATATATATATATATAGTGTTACATTCACAGCTATAACATTTATGCTGACTTCTCATTTACAGTCACACACACACTCGTTTTTTCTTTCTCAACCACACTGGCTAGCTTAACAAACACAGTCTACGCACCAACGGAGTTTGTTACTTGTATTACACACGTTGGATACAAAAATAAATCAAAAAATGAACAATGTTTAGGCCCAGTCGCCTAGCAAAACACTGGTAAACCCTGGGTGTGTTTGAGTGTGTACATGTTTGTTTTACTCATGTTGTGGAGACATGGATTTGTTTACACACTCACATTGTGGGGCCTTTTTTTTTGGTGACAAAATGCAGTCCCATTCTTTACACCATTAAACTGTAACACTAGGGATGGTGTGTGTGTGAGGGGGGGAAGTGTGAGAGAGGGAGAGAGAGAGAGCGAGAGAGAGAGAGAGAGAGAGAGAGAGAGAGAGAGAGAGAGAGAGAGAGAGAGAGAGAGAGAGAGAGAATTAGTTTGTGTGCACATGTGAAATGATCAGTACGCAGACATGTTATGGATGGGATGGTGTGTGACTGCTTATTTTAAATGTCTCCACACAGACCTTTAAAATAGGAGAACCCTGTTTGGCAGCCGTCTCCTTTATTTTGATGCCAATAAAGTGCAGGATATGATAACAGAGAAGGTGGGGGGGGGGGGGGGTAGTTCTGCAGAGAAGCAGCAGTGATGTAATGCTGATAGCAGCATCACATTTGTGAAAGAGCATCCATGTTTCCACGCTAACCCTGATCATTTACCCACCACAGATCGATAGTCCCGCAGGTTTCTGGAACATCTTCTCACTCCATGCCATCACAACAATGAAAACACATTGTCTTCATCAAGAGTATCTCACTTTAACATTGTGACACAGGAGGAAAGAGCAGCAAGCCATCATTACATGCACTACTCTCCGGGTGTGAACATCAGCTTTGTAGAAGTGTTCGGCTGTGATTGTCAGTAACGTTGGAAGCTTTATCAGGACCTCCAATGAAGATAAAAAAGCTAAACAACCCCTAACAAATAAAAAATGTAGCTAGATACTCTTGGTAATTTGCATTTCTTGCAAACAACATATAGTTTCAGTATGATTGACAGCACAATTGAAAAGATGTGTGTGCAGAAGGCATTACAGCAGTGTGGATGCATTGTTGTGGCTCACCTGCACAGAGCAGAGCGGAGCGGAGCCACAGCAGTCCGAGCAGCAGCCCCGGCGGTCCCATGGTCCGCCCGGCGGGGACTGGTGTGCTTATCTCGGACACAATTTCCGCGTTTTGCTCGACATCTGTGTCCTCCAGCGAGGCTGCCGCATCTGTTTTCAGCTCAGACACACCGAAAGGTCCTCCTCATTACGGAAAAGCATTGTGTCCTTTGCAGCGGTAGCCAAGACACCAGAGTCAAGGCAGCTGTGGCAAAGGAAGCGATTTCCGGTCAACGTCTTCAAAATAAAACCTACGTTTTGTTAATCAAATGATTGCGTTCATGAGAAAGAGTAAACAGTTATTTAAAGATATACTTGTTCGAAACGTGTAACCGGAAATATTATTTAGGAACTGCTTAACCCTTGTGCTCTCCTCGAATTTTCAACCTTTCGCCACCTTCGTGGCAAAATGTACACGCCCCAAAAAAATGCTATTAAATCCTCATACATCAATATTTTTTTCTACTTTCTTTTCATTAATCACTTAAACAACTTCTAACGTACTCAAAACTACCAAACATTCAATCATTTTCAGGATTTAACCCTTTAAGTCAGGGGTCCCCAACCTTTTTTCCCAAGAGCCCCCCCAAATGACTCCTGTTGGAAGTTGCGCCCCCCCCCCCACACACAAGGGGGGGGGGGGGAGCAATAGCGGTAATTAAAGTTTAAAAGTCTAAAAAATGCTACAACTACTGTCACAAACTGGATGAATGTGAAGTATTTTGTTAAAAGAGGATGAAAGCGTAATTAAGGAGCACTATTGGAGTGACTTTGATGGTTATTGGACTCAGGATTAATTAATTTGGATTCCCGCTGTAAGAAGAAATTAAAGGACGGCGCAAGTGGAAACAATTCACAAAGGGATTAAACTGTTTAAAACACATGCTCAAAGTAAGCCGGATTTTGCCATGTGTTTATGTGGATTCAAAAGTCGTAAATAATCTACAAAATGGAGGAGACCGATCTGATCGGAGCAACTGTGACAAATAATCTGAAACCGGCATGGACAATGACTATGTTTTAAAGATGCGCTTATCCAGAAAAGCCTGGTTTGGACACTTTACAGGCAGAAGAAACATTTCTATTAAAGAAAGAATTATACATTTCTGTCTTGTTATGCCTATAATAGCTACTAACTTGAATTTTTATTCTAATTAATTAATCAATTATTTTTTATATTTTATTGTAATGTAGAGACAAGGCTTTTAGTGAAAATCATGTATTGCGTTACAATTATATGTAAAAAGAAAAAAAAAAAGTCTAAATATGATATTTGGCCTCAAATCATCTGAGGCCTGGCGCCCCCCCCCTGCGATCTTTGACGCCCCCCCAAGGGGCGCGCCCCAGGTTGGGAACCACTGCTTTAAATGCCTTATACTTCGTAAACAATAATAATGCAGTCAAATCAATTTTGTAGCTAATCCATTTTTTGTGTTTTTTTTTAAGAGAAATTAAATAATTCAAATAATGAAACAGGCATTTAAAGGGTTAAAATCCTGAAAATTATTGAATGTTTGGTAGTTTTGAGCATGTTAGAAGTTGTTTAAGTGATTCATGGAAAAAAAAGTAAAAATAAATATTGATGTATGATGATTTAATAGCAGTTTTTTGGGGCGTGTACATTTTTGCCACGAAGGTGTCCAGAGGGTGCAAAATGCATCACGAGAGTACACAAAACATGTAAGAGTAAACGACATTGGATTTAAAAAATGTGACTCAAAAGAAGACTTCTTGCAAAAATCCATGCCAAAAGCTGTAACACAGCTGAAATGATTACCAAATCAAAAAAAAAAGTCAGAAAAAATGTACAAAAATGCCCGAGGAGGGCACAAGGGTTAAGTGTGTTCAGTTGTATGTTCTACTGGGGAAATAATACACCAAAAGACAGTATTTATAATGTACGTTGCATTGTGTCGTTTTATATGCAATAATATGTTTTGTACATAGTAGTCAATTATTAACCTATGAACTATGTTGTCCTTGATATTAGCTCAAACAAGGTTTATCAATGAGTGTTTTCATATGAGTCTTCTTAAACGTTTTTACCTTTATGGATGCATTTATTTTGAGTCTGATCCACAGAAAAGTCAATAACAAGTGAAAGGGTTTTTTTGTTTTGTTTATCGTTATAGATATAAAAAGCATTAAAATGGTTGTCTGAGATGTGTTAAACATATAAATGACATTGGTTTTTTTTTGTCTTATTTTGAAGAGCTAAAGATAGAACTTCCGCTCTAGTGGTGGCCTACTTTGTGTTCAGCTTGCCGCATCAAAGTGGTCCTATTTTGTCTTTGTTTATATGTCTTCTTCGCTTCTTGGAGGCAGATTTAGTGTGACAAACAGCTATATAGAAACTGTAAACATCCTTTTGAAGTATATTACACCATCAACGGGGTGAACTTGTTGGGATGAGGAGGGCATCCACGCTACGCTCGTTTCATGATTTTCTTCACCCCAATCCATTCATTGTAGTGTGACGGATTCTTGGTCCAGTAGGGCAGGCCGTTTTATTGCCACCCCCATGTGGTCAAATTGGTGTACTACAAAAACCACCAAGTCTATATCACATTTGAGTTAAATGTCAGCATTTCCACTGTAGTCAAGCAGTCTGTTTCTTTAAAGTAGAAGTAAAACGCCTTTGTAATTGTACTATACAGAGAGATTATATCAGTGTGAATTTCGACCAACAGGAAACGCTGGGCGAATGACGACCAAAAGGCATGCTTGGATTCGAACCCAGGATCTCCTGTTTACTAGACAGGCGGTTTCAACGCCGGATAATATAGCTGTTTATGAATGCACGCGGACTGACATGTACAATTACGATATGAATTAGTTATTAAATACAACTCGTGGTTGCCTACACGGAAGTTAAAAGAACTGGAACTATTATAGCTAAATTCCATGATTGTAAGCCTGCAGGTTAAGTTATGACTTCATTAGATACAAATATGACTGTTTTCTTCAGCTGTGTTGAATTACTCTGTGGTACAGTAGCGTAGGCAGAAATTTACTTTAGGGCGGGCCTGTATAAAATAGGGTGGGCCAGCTTTTTCCAGGGGGAAACATGACTTTAAGGTAGGCCTGGCCTATAATAATGATATATAATAATGCCCATTGCCAAGCATCGTTGTAGCATTTCCCTCCGAATAATGGTCGAAGACTTGACGATATGAATTTATTGAAATCTCCAATATCAACGTAAGAGATATAAAGACACAAAAATAACAAATACATTTAGGCTCCATCCGTATTAGAATCACTTTAGCATACTACCAAAAGTGAACTGTAAACAGACAGCAAAGCTACAAAACAGCATATAAACGAATTAGCACAAAACCCACATTTTTACATTATATTTAATACCAACTTTGTGCCTCTTCAGGGGTTGCTAAACTTAAACATAAACTTTATCCTTTACTTTCTCCGTCTTTATATGTAGTTTAATCTCCGCTCCTTTTCTTCGTCACGTTGTTTCCATAGCAACAACAACTTCCTGTCAACAGCGTAAACTCGCCTTCAAAATAAAAGCATCTAAATAACACAGGAAGTTAACCTAAATTACATTTAAGACATACAACCAGGGGTTAAATTGGGCCTGGGCAGCGCCATATAGATAGATAGAGGATTCTGGGCTGTCCGGGGCTCAGCCCCGGCACATAGGACGATGCTCTGACGTCATCACCCTCGCTCATTTGTCATTTGTTTAAGCCATATGTTAAAACATCTCTCGTTCTTAATATAGACTTTATTTAGGGTCGATATGTGTTGACTTTACCTTAAAATAGCAGATCTCCGCTTAGTGAACGTGTGTCTCTGCTCCGATCAGGAGCTGCAGCACCGCGGCTCCTTCGTGCAGAGAGTGCAGCGGTGTGTGCCGGTTCTAACCAATTTGCTGCCCTAGGCGAGATTTTAGCTGGCCAGATCGGTTTACATTTTAATAACCAAATATGTGAACATAACCAATAACATACCACAGCCAATAACAAATAAATGTAACATATTTTATTTTTGTTGTTCATTCATATCTTATTTTACCTAGTTAACATTTATTTATGCATATTTTTGTATCTCTCAAGATCCCACGCCCACTTTAGCTGTGAGCTGCGGACGCCTGATAAGCCAACACCCCCCACTTTCATCACTTACAGCGCCCGTCGTACAGGGCAAATGAAAAGTGTAACCGGGGTGAAAAGGGTGTTACCTTTACTTAATTATGAATGTTGTTACATCAAGGCCGAAAATTAGGAAAAGCGCAAACAGTCAAAAATGTTTTTTTCCCTCCCAGAGCTGCCAGCGCAGCGCCCAGATCTGGCGCCCGAGGCGACCGCCTATGTCTCCTATGCCAAAAACCGGCCCTGTACACCATGCTAAATGTGTTGTAAATGAGTTATGATCTGTCATAATAACACAGAACTTGGTGATGATTAAATAGTTTACAGTGAGATTTACTCCCATACTTTTGGCCATACTCACGCAGCCCTACAAATGAATTGAGATTTCCACACAAATGTTCTTTAGCAAGTGTGCAAAGCAGTGTTGATTTAAAAAAGCAATTTGAAGGTTGGATATTTGTAAACCTTTTTTTGTGTATATTGTAGTGATCACTGATTCATACACTGGGGTTACATAATTCAATCCGGGAACTACAGGTTGGGGGTATTGTTTCCGCCCGGACATATATGTTGACGGTACCTCCGGGGTACCTACAGTGTGTGTCCCTTTCACTTTCTCTTCTTTCCTGCAACCCGACAGCACGTCGATTTCTGCTCCCCAATAAAGAGAGATTTGCACCTCCGATGCACCGCCTCCGACTCCCTTCTCTCGGCACTACATTGGTGACCCCGACGTGATAATAGCGAAGGATCCGAGGCTGAATCGAACGCGGCAAAAAGCGCAGCTTTTCTCGGAATGCCGGAGATTCTTGGAGACGTCCGTTGCTGCCTCGTGCGCACGGACTGAGGCTCGGTGCGCCCCACGGAATGGCTGGGAACGTCGCTCCCCATTCCCGCTTCGTCTCGGCGCTGGAGGGCAGCAAGCCTTCCTGCTACGAGGGGACAGTGCGCGACCTGCTAGGTATGGAGGGACCCGACTTCTGCCTCGTGGAGCTGGTTCTTCGGGACATGCGGCTGCGTGTCCGGGCTGCGCTAGCTCACTCGGCTAGTGTTGAGCACCGCGCTTTGGCC